CTGGAAGGTTTGGAGTAAGGTGCCAGTTGGTGCTTGAGAAAAATGTTAGGCTTTAGAGAGGAGTTTCGCCATTTGTTTATGGTTGATCTTGGTGATGTTAATATCAGGTGGTTTTGGGATGAAATTCGGCCAGTTGGGATTAAGATCCCTTGGCATAAGACGTTGTGGTTTCCCTTCATGTGCCTAAACACGCTTTCATTGGTTGGATGGCGAATGTCGGGAGACTTCCCACCAAGGATCGGTTGGTGAAAATAAGGCTTGTGATCGATGAGAAATGTGTTGTGTGTATGGATGCTTTGGAGACAAGAGACCATCTGTTTTTTGAATGCTCTTTTTCTAGGAACATTTGGGAAGTCATATTGGGGTTGTTCAATTTAAGCAGGATGGCTCGAAGTTGGGAGGAGGAGTTGGATTAGGCAACTCCTCATCTTTTGAGTAAATCCTTGCTTTCTTTTATACTTAGGATTGCTAGGAGTGCTTTTGTTTATGGTATATGGGAGGAAAAGAATGCCAGGCTCTTTATTGACACGAATCAAGGGGATATTTGAACTTTGTTAAAGGGGTTATTAGAATTAAACTTAGCAACAAGGCTCTGGATATGGTGGATGATGTAAATAGAAGCCTTTGTGATAGGTGAGGGATCATGTTATAGGGGCTGCCTGTTAATTGTCATTTGTAGCAGTTTCCGCTTTTGGATAATATACACAAACTTATCCAAAAATAATAATAATAATAAATTTTCTATATGTTTTAAAAAAATTAAAAGTTTAGGTATTAAAACGGATCGAAATTGAGTAATTTACCCAAAAAAAATTAAGAATTGACCACGTGATTTTATTGATTGGATTTCTGTCCGTTTCTTCCGGCCAATTGTTACAGCCATGGCTTTTCTCGATCATGGATATAGAAAGATTTCCCGTTGAACAAACAAAAAAAAGAAGAAGAAGAAGAAGATAATAAGTAAGGCTTCCTGCTTGGCTACTTTCCATTCAGCCGGCAATTCTTCTTTAGTCTCGTAAAAACTTATTTTATGTATACATAACCTCTCCTTCATCTATAACTACAAACATTGCCATGGTGAAAATTTTCAGTTTCAGTTCTTATTGACTCTACTGCCTTCTCCATGTTTCCTTTGCGTACTTCAACTGGCATGGTGATAATTTGGAGGTAGTGGTATGATTTTTCCTTAAAGGTAACTCTGATCCTATATTTTTCTATGGAACTTTTCTCTCTCTTTTTGAGTTAAACATCCATGTTTTAATTGTTTTCTAATCAGGGCTTTGATTGAAGCTAAAGACGTGGAAGAGAAGAAAAACAGTGGAGGAGAAGTGGTGATTGATGTTCACGGTGAAGAAGATCCATGTTTTAATTGTTTTCTAATTAGGGCTTTGATTGAAGCTAAAGACATGGCAGAGAAGAAAAACAGTGGAGGAGAAGTGGTGATTGATGTTCACGGTGAAGAAGATCCCAAAGGGCTGAAAGGGTCAGCTCTAAACGAGATAGAGGCACTGAACCCTCAGAAAAATGCTCAAGTTTCACCCACCAAATTTGGTCAAACTCTAAATAAATTCCCAATTGAGAAAGGTAAATGGCGTAATAAGAAGCTTAAGGGAGTTGTGATTGAGTGGTTCATATTTTTTTTTACTATCTGGATGCTTAATAGCTAGCTTAACCGTAGTTAAGCTGCACAACACCCATTTTTTGGGTTTAGAAATCTGGAAATGGTGTCTACTTGTGATGGTTATATTCTGTGGTATGTTGGTCACTCGTTTGTTTGTGCGTCTTGTTGTTTTCTTGTTTGAATTCAACTTTCTACTGGGGAAGGAAGTGATGTATTTCGTTCATGGTATGAAGAAGAGTGTTCAAGTGTTTACATGGCTGAGTTTAGTTCTTGGCACTTGGGTTCTTTTGTTTCTCGATGTCAAGAGATAGAAGACCGCCACGAAGATCCTCGATTACATAACCTGGGCTCTTGTAAGCATTCTTATTGGATCATTTATGTGGCTGTTGAAGACTTGGTTGTTAATAAGGTTCGCTTCAAGTTTCTACAACAACAATTTCTTTGACAGGATACAAGAATCGGTCTTCCATCAATACATAATTTGGACCCTTTCTGGACCTCCATTGATGGAGAAATCTGAAGAAACCAAAAGGCTGATTGACAAGGTAAAGGTCCATAAATTGAATCGAGAAAAGGTGTCATCTTGGCACATAAAGGTGTTGGTTGATGCCATCACCGATTCAGGGCTTTCCGTATTCTCCAACACCTTAGATGAAAGTAGTTGTGATGAATATGGTGAAGACGCAGATAAAGAGATTACCAGTGACATTGAGGCACGAAGTTGTGCGTATCAAATTTTCAGAAACGTTGCTCCACCTCATCAGAACCGGTTAGAAAATCAGCTTTTCATGATGCTTCTATTCATTTTATGTTTCCTGCCATTTTTTTTTCATTTTTTTTCTAACTGTAGTCTCTCTATGATCAGTTACTTTGATGAGGATGATCTTTTAAGGTTCGTGACTAAAGAGGAGGTGGATCTTGTGTTTCCTTTGTTTGAAGGATCAGATACTGGAAAAATTAACAGAACAAGTTTCTCAAACTGGGTGGTAAGAGCACCCTATGAAACTCGAACAAAGTCTAGTATGTTTTTCGTCACTTTTAACAATGCTAGTATGCAATGATCCTAATATATGTTATTCCCTATTTATACTAAATAGTTTAAGTTGTTTAAGCTCCTGGTATGCACTGATCCTAATATGAGTTATTCCCTATTTATACTATATAGTTTAAGTTGTTTAAGCTCAAAACTAATGTAGGGATTCTTGTTTAACATGCTTGTTTTCTGTTATTTCATACAGATAAACGTGTACCAGGATCGGAAAAGACTTAGCATTTACTTTGAGGGACACAAAAGATGCTTTAGAACAATTGAATGAACTTGCGAAAGCGATCTTGATTGTGGTCACTTTCATTATATGGCTTCTTTTGGTGGGAACTGCGACCACAAGAGTGCTTCTTGTAATTGCAGCTTTTCTGTTTGGGGAAACCAGCAAGATTTTATTTCAAGTTGTCATATTATTGTTCGTGATGCATCCATTTGATGTTGGTGATCGTTGTATGGTCGATGGTGTTCAGGTAAACCACTGAAAGTGCAAGCTCCCATATGCATTTCTAGGAGGAAAAAAATTGTTACTAACTAGTATGATTTATCACTCTGTACCTGACAGTTGGTGGTGGAGGAGATAAATATTTTAACCACCGTCTTCCTGAAGCCCGATAACGAAAAGGTGTACTACCCGAACTTGGTTTTGTACTCGAAGCCTATCAGAAACTATTACAGAAGCCCTGATATGGGTGATGCTATAGAGTTTTGTATCGATTTTAAGACACCAGTGGAAGCAATAGGGAGGCTGAAGGAAGAAATAAAGAGGCAAGTTGACGGTAGAATTGTCCTAGCTTTTAATTCATATAAGATTATGTTTTAATGAGCTTATTGGTGTATTCATTTGTGTTGTTATGTCCAACCAGGTATTTGGAAGGCAATACCAAATGGAGTCCTAAACACCAAGTGGTGGTGACGGAGATTGACAATGACAATAAGTTAAAGATGGCTCTCCATTGTACTCATACAATGAATTTCCAGGACTTCGGAGAGAGGAACAAGCGTCGAACCGATTTAATCATTGAATTGAAGAGAATTCTGGTGGAGTTGGGCATAAGGTACAATCTCCTTCCAGAACAGAGGAATCTAGACCAAGTCACTCGAGACAGGCCAGAGGCAACAAATGCCATGTTAGAAGAAGAATAGAAAAGAATTTATGCAGCAGAAGGAGATGTTACTGTAGTTTAGTTGTTACATTATTTCGTAACAAACTGGTGTTTCAACATCCGAGTTGCTTGGCTCGATTACGATAATAATAACAATGAAATATGTTATTTATGATGCTTGCTTCCAATTCCATAAGAAGGCATTCTTTGACAGAATACAAGAATCACCCTTCCATCAGTACATACCTCAGACCCTTTCGGGACCTCCATTGATGGAATTGACTGAAGCATCAATGGCTCATTTGACTGTTGACAATGTGAAAAAGCTTAAAGGAGAAAAGTTTGTGAACACCGGAAAGGTCCATACTTTAAAGCTCTTTTATGTGGGTTTCAAAGACCAATAGCCAACTTCTAGAGATGAAGTGGATAGGAAATCACATGAATCTAAAGTATTTTTTTATAATGATGCTCTAAACCCAAGGCTCATCATACTAAACCCTAACTAAGATCCATTTTTTATTCTTAATATGAAACCTGCTTTCTCATTTCTTACTGTACTTTTCAGCCGTTCTTTCTACATCACACTTGTTCCAAGAATTTGCTACCATAGCCATTTGAAGAAGCTATTTTCTCAACCATCAACAAACATACTTCTACCTCCTCTGAAGCAGCATCTGTCACTAGTCAGTTATTTAGTTTTTCATTTTTGTTTAATTAACTTCTGCTTCATCTTTCTTTTCGCTTACGTCAGATTCATACTTCTTCATTTTAGGTTTGTTGTTATTTTTTACATATTACTCGGTAAATTTATTCATACTTTTTGGTCATTATAACTTGTTGAAATGACTATAGTTTAATCTGTTAAAGCATTGACCTTTGGCTTTGGCTTTGGCTTTCATGTTCTAAATCTGATGCTCACAGTTCCAATTTAGTTAGTATAGAATTTGAGTGAACTTTACCCTTTATATTCATTCCAAAAATATATATTTTATAAATTACTTTGGGCAGGCCGAGTTTGGCCCGCTTTCTTACTATTTGGATAGGATCTGGAGAGAATATTATGCCCAAATTTCTGTTCAACTGAGCATGAATGCCTTGTTCGAACCCAACCCATGAAGCTCTTCTCGTTCATGAATAATAACGTAAAAGAAAGATTGCATTTTTTAAAGCGCAAAGTTTCCTCTTTTTCTCTTAAATGCTAGCCTGACCCTATATTGTTAATCATCCATGTCTTAGTTGACTTGTTTTCTTATCCGGGTTTTGGTTGAAGCTAAAAGACATGGCAGAGAAGAGAAGCAGTGGAGAAGAAGTGATGATTAACGTTCACAGTGAAAGTGAAGAGAATCTCAAAGGTCTAAAAGGGTCGCCTCCGAACGAAATAGATGCATTGGACCCTCAACAAAATACTCAAGCTTCACCCGCTGCTGATAAGCCACCAACTGTCGCAACTAAAAAAGTTAAACGGCGTTATAAGAGGAAGCTTAAGAAGCGAGTTATGATCGATTGGGTCATATTTTTGTTACTCTTGGGGTGCTTAATAGCTAGCTTGACCGTGGATAAACTGCACAACACCCGTTTCTGGGATTTGGAAACTTGGAAATGGTGTGTGCTTGTGATGGTGACATTCTGTGGTATGTTGGTTACTGGTTGGTTTGTGCGTCTTGTTGTTTTCTTGAGTAACGTTTTACTGAGGAAGAGAGTGATGTATTTCGTTCATGGTTTGAAGAAGAGTGTTCAAGTGTTCATATGGCTTAGTTCAGTTCTTGGTACCTGGGTTCTTTTGTTTCTTGACGTCGAGAGATCGAAGACCGTCACGAAAATTCTCGATTACGTAACCTGGGCTCTTGTAAGCATTCTCATTGGAGCATTTCTACTGTTGTTGAAGACATTGCTGCTAATGATGTTCACTTCCAGTTTCCATAAGAACAATTTCTTTGAAAGAATACAAGAATCAGTCTTTCATCAGTACATAATTCGGACCCTTTCGGGACCTCCGTTGATGGAGAATGCTGAAGAAACGGAAAGGTTGATTGACACGGGAAAGCTCCATAGATTGACGCAAGAAAACGTATCATATTGGCACATGAAGGTGTTGGTTGATGATATCACCAATTCAAGGCTTACCATAATCTCCAACGCCTTAGACGAAAGTAGCTGTGATGAAGATGGTGAACAAGAAGATAAAGAAATCACTAACGAGAAGGAGGCACGAAGTTGTGCTCATAAAATATTCATAAACGTTGCTCCACCTCCAAATGATCATAATAGGTAAGAAAAATCAGCTTTTAATGATGCTTCTAGTGATTTTGAGTTTCTTGCATTTCTTTCTTTTTTAAAAAATTTTGCCTTCAACTATAGTCTCGTTATGATCAGTTACTTTGATAAGGATGACCTTTTAAGGTTCATGACTAAAGAGGAGGTGGATATTGTGTTTCCATTGTTCGAAGGATCAAATAATGGAAAAATTGACGGGAACGTATTCACGAACTGGGTGGTAAGAGTACTATATGAAAGACTGTAACAAGAACTATTCCCTATTTTGCTATTTATAGTTTAAGTTGTTTAAACTCAAAACTAAATGCAGGGATTCTTGTTTTCTGTTATTTCATACAGACAAATGTTTTCAGGGAACGGCGAGCACTCGCACTCACTTTGTTTGACACCAAAAAGGCTTTAGAACAATTGAATAAACTTGTCTCGGCGATCTTGATTGTGGTCACTTTTATTATATGGCTTCTTCTGGTGGGAACTGCAACCACAAGAGTGCTTCTTGTAATTGCAGCTTTTTTGTTCGGAGAAACCTGCAAGACTATATTTCAAGTCGTCGTATTCGTATTCGTGATGCATCCATTTGATGTCGGTGATCGTTGTGCGGTCGACGGTGTCAAGGTAAACAACTGAAAGATCTTGCTCTCATATGCATTTTTGGAAAAAGAAAAAGAAGAAAGTTCACTAACTATGCTCTATGACAGTTTGTTGTTGAGGAGATAAATATTTTAACGACCACCTTTCTCAAGGGCAATAACGAAAAGGTGTACTACCCGAACTCAGTTTTGTATTCAAAGCCTATCAGCAACTATTACAGAAGCCCTGACATGGGTGATTCTATAGAGTTCTGTATTGATTTAAGGACACCAGCAGAAACAATAGGCACGCTGAAGAAAGAAATAAAGAGGCAAGTGGACTTTAGATTTATCCTTGCTTTAACTCATATAAGATTATGTTTTAGGGAACTTATCGGTGTATGCATTTGTGGTGTTATGTCCGAGCAGGCATTTGGAGGCCAATGGTACCAGATGGCATCCTCAACACCTTGTGGTTGTGACCGAGATTGAGAATGACAATAAGTTAAAGATGGCTCTCCATTGTTGTCATACCATGAACTTCCAGGACCTGGCAGAGAGGATAGAGCGTCGATCCAATTTAATCGACGAGTTGAGGAGAATTCTGGAGGGGTTGAGTATTAGGTACAGTATCCTTCCCGAAAAGGGTAGTCGAAATCAAGTCACTCAAGACAGGCCAGAAGCAACAAATGCCATGTTTGAAGAATAGAAAACAACTTAACAAGAAAGTTGGGTGAAACCAGTTGGAAATTGTGAGTTGGTTACCGATCCTTTGGTACAACAAATACTCCTCTCTGTTATCATTTGCTAAGCTTCATTCATCAATGAAATGATGGTTCTCTCTGAATTCTTCTGTTATCTCCTATTTCTCTTCATCCAATTCATGGAATCTGGTTGAATAATCATAAATTTAACATTCCATCACCTCAATCCATCCCTATTTACATGCTTACTTGAAATATGCGACCACCTCAAAAAAATGATGGGAATAAAGAAATTACAAACAATTGTAGTCAAAAGATCAAATTGAGTAAAATATAAAATTAATAGACTAAATTAAAAAAAGAGTACATTTTGTAAAAAAATTGAAGTTACATAGGTATTCTATAGTGGTATGGTAGCATGGGGTTCAAATTTGATCAAAACAGACTTAAAATGAAGGATGAATCAAAGAAATAAGAAAATCATGTAAAGTTGAGGGACTAAATTGAAAAATAAGTAAGTTGTTATCAAAAAGAGGAATTAATTGAATGTACATAGGGATTCTATGAAGATTTAGGAGCAAGTGGTTCAGATTTGATGAAAATGGACTTAAAATGGAGGAGGATTGAATGAATAAGGAAATCATGGACTAAATCACAAGATTGTCAAAATACTTAGCCAAGTTTTTGTTTTTTCGAGTAACTCAAAATTTTCAAATTTCAATTCGATTAGAACTCGAAAAGCGACTTGATAATTTGAGATGACTCTAATAACTCTAAATTAAAAAAAAATCGAGTCGAATTTTGGTCACCCTAATATGATTAATAGTTATTAGAGAGAATTCCATAGAAGATCCCTCGAACTATAACCACATTCCATAGGTAGTCGATGTTTTACAGCTCTTCTCGTCATCGAAGTGTCAACCGACTCGGACTCATTGCTGCAACAACCGCCTGCACACCCTACTCGACGAGGTGGGCATTGTTCGCCACCACCTCGCACGCGCGCTCCCACGCCAGAACCAATCCAAGTGTACGAGCCATTCGCCTCCACCACCACCAAGAACTCCTCAGCCAATTTTCTTGTACCACCGCAAGGCCAAACTGTGGTCGGTCCATCAAGGTTAAGGCTGAATCGTGCTTCATTGTCAGCTACCCAAATGTTTCACACGGCACATTCGGGTTCTCACTCTCAATCAATGTTCGGACGTTGCTCCGTCATTTTTTCCACTCCCGAGAAACCCCGAGGTAAACTCTGATCTGGTTGATATTAAACCTCTAATGATGTGGCACTCTGCTTTTGGTTATTCAAAAGACTTTCGAAGCAGATTCTCATTCCAGTCCGGTGTACCACCTCAACCGAGTCTGGCATCATCACAGGCTCCCGAGCACTCTTCATCGTCTCGATCATTTTTCGGGAAACCCCATGCTTCAAACTTTGTCGTAAAATTTGATGAACCCAACGAACAAGGCGATGATGCTTTCAATCTTTTCGATGGTCGAAAGCGACATGGCTGAACTTATTCAGTTCCGGTCGAAGATGTGCTGCGAGGATACCTCGCTTTCGATGATACTGAGGCGTGGTGTTTCGACAACATCCGTCACAGATGATTTCAGAGACGTATCGTCACTTTTCTATATTAGTCGTCTCGCTTCCATCGAGACCAATCTCGTCGATATCCTTTCCTACCTTTGCCCGGGTCTATCTCGACGCAGTCACATCCGCGATCGTCACTAGATCGGAGAATATTCATTTCCCCTCTCTTTTGATTTAATTTTGAATTACGTTTTGAGACAACGATTTAAGTGAGGGTGAAGATACTAATTTTTTACCCATATTGATTTATTTATTATTATTATTATTATTATTATAATTACTATAAATATTATTATTATTATTATTATAAATATTATTATTATTATTATTAAATATATATATATATATATACATAAATAATATTAAAAAATTACAAGCCCAGTCAACCGGCCCAAACCAAACTGAAACCCAAAACATTTAGGGTTTCAGTTAGGGTTTCCTAACCCTAATCCATAGCTGCCTCTGCCTCCAGCCGCCTCTGCCTCCAGCCGCCTCTGCCTCCACCGCTGCCACGTCCCAACCGAAGGCTCCAGAAGCTCCAACGCCAGCCGTCCACGCCATGGCTAAGGGGTGAGTCACCACTGGTAGTCCGGTGACTCACCGAAGGGCAATCTATTACCCGGTCCGATGACCACTCCGGTGATGGCTATAAAGCCATCACCCCATCTGCAAGAAAGAACAGAGGAACAACAGAAGGAAAAAAAAACCACAATAGAGACAGAGAGACAGAAAACAGAGAGCAAACGTCCCACAACCAGAAAAAAAAAACCAAAACAGAGACAAAAAGAAAGGAAAGAAGCTTACCGAGGAAGCCACCGGAATCTTCAAACTGCACCAAAACCTTCGAAAATACCGAAGGTATTTCTTTAGATTTGCTCCGATTGGGAGCTATTTAGGAGAAAATAACACCGGAACCGTCCTTAGGACGGTCCGATCTACCCAATAGTATAAAAATAAAATTTTCCGGCCACCGGATGCGGTGGCCGGCGGTGACGGTCACGGCGGCAAACGGTTGCCGTCCGGTGACCGGCTTCCCTCCGATGAGGGAAGCTAGAGAGAGGCTAGAGAGAATTCTGGCTCTCTCTTTGCTTGAGAGAAAAAAAAATGAAATGAAGGCTGGCCCGAAGGGCCAGCCGTTTTGGACCTTATATAGTCCTTCCCGAACGACGTCGTTTCGGGAAGGACTATGCGTGTAATTAAATAATAGTTAAACCCCGTCCGAAGCCATTCCAACTTGTAAACTTTACATTCTAGTCACTAAATCGAGTTTATAATACTTTTAATTCAGATCTTTAATTTTAATTTCATTTATTTTAGTCCTTTATATTAAAATAATATATTTAGGATAAATAACAGAATTAATCCCTTAATTTTAATAAATAATATTTTAATCCCTAGTTTATATTTTTAATTTATTTTATTCTAATATCCGAATTTTAGATAATTTTATTTTAGTTTAAATAAATAAAATAAAGAAATAGCATGTTTAATCCCTATAATTTTGATTAATTATGAATTAGTTTTTTAATTTTAATTTTACTATAATTTAGTCATTTATTTTAAATGTTTTCATTTATTTTACTACTTTTAAATATATCGTTCTAGTTGTATTTTTATTGTTTTAATTTTACTTGTTTATATTTTTAAATATTTTTATATATTCATAAATATATATATATTAAATAATAATTAATTTTTTAAATAAATTATTTTAATATTTATTTTTCAATATCGAAGAAAAGGACAGTCTTAATACAACTGGATGTCCTATTCTGGTATTTTAAAATTTAATAATTAATTTTTTTTATTTAATTTAAATTAACATTTATCAATATCAAAGAGAAGAGATGTCTTAAGGTACCTAGAAGTCCTTTTCCGATATTTTTAAATATTTTTTTTTATAATTTTGAAATAATAGGATTATAAATTAAATATATTTTGAAAATTTTAATATTTTAATAATAAAGACAATTTATAATTAAAAAGTACCAATTTTGGGAGTTGTAGGGGTGCTAATCCTTCCCTAAACGTAACCAACCACGAATCCCTTTTTTATTATTAAAAAGAAAGAATTTTTAGTTATAAACGCAGATCAGTTCATTTTTAATTGATGTTTTCTTAAAACTCTTTTAAAAAAATAATTTTTAGGTATTCGACCTACCTGACCCAAAAGGCCGATGGCGACTCCCAAATTATTTTCAAAACCATTTATTAACATAAATTTTCCCGCCAAATTTAAAATTTTCGTGCCCGGGCGAAAACCGGTTACGACAGCTTGGCGACTCCGCTGGGGACTGGTTAAACTTTTAAAAATCAATTATAAATTGTCTCTATTAATTAAAAATTAAAAATTCATATATTTAATTTTTAATTCTTTCTTTTCAAAATTTTTATATTTACTTATTATTTTCATAATATTTATATGTTTTATTTTATTTGCAAGTATTTTATTTCATTATTTATTTTTCTGTCAAAGGTTTGAACATTTCTCCTCACACACAACACTTGCATCGCATAACATAAAGCTCTATAATTGAGTTGTCCTTTTTAAGTGGGAGTGAAAGCGACGTCTTCGTGAGAATTTATTCTCTGTGTCAGACCTAGCAAGTAACTTTCGGGGTTCATAGACTCTATGTTTTCGTGAGAATTTATTCTCCGTGTCAGGCATAGAGAAATGTATCCCCTCGAATTGAACTCGATCCATTTTAGTCTGTGATGGACTAGGATTGAGGGTTAGCAACCCAAGGGGGCACTAACAAGGACAATTCGGGTACCTTTATTCTTAGATCTGAAATCCTGCATATAAAAAACCTTAGAAACTCTTCCGATCCGAAGTCATGCCGAAATTTTGTCTAAAATAGGTGTACACACAGGAGAAATGAATTCTAACTTTCTAGTTTATTTATTTTCTTTACTGATTAAATTACATGTATATTTAAATTATTTAAATTTAGAAAAGCATGTTTAAATAAAAATTTAGGTAAATGTTATTATTAATTTTCTTTATTATGTAAACTAATTCATTTCTTTTTGTGTGTTCTTTATTTTTCTGTTTGCATAGCATCATACAGGATAAAAGACATTGATCCTTGTGTTAATTGTCTCATTGGAAAGCCTTCATCTATGGATAAAAAGTGTTCAAATCAAGTAATTCTAAACTCAGAAGTAAGACAGTGGGCTGAGGACTTACAAAGACAAGAAGGAGACAGTCTGCAGGATGATTATGTATCTGACTTGGCCAGTTATGCTCCAGTTTCACTAAAAAGAAATGATATGCAAGATTTGCGAAGCATTTGGGGAAAGTTGGGATTCAAACCAAAAATTGCAGTTTTATCAGATTTACGGAGACATCCCATATTTGCTCTATGTCGAAGTTGATGATGAATTACTCAGAGCCCTAATTCAATTCTGGAATCCATGGTACAATTGC